CTTCCCATAACCCTTCCCATTCCCAGATCTCCCCATAACCCTTCACAGAAGCACAAAGGCAGTTTTTCACATGGATGCCTGACCCTTCAAGTCCCAGCCACCTCATTATCGGCTTCAAGTTCGCAGGACCAACTGACCACTTAGGAGGACCTGCCAGTGAGAGGCAGCATCATGGGTTATGGGGGAAACACAGCTCCAAGACGGGTCAAAAGATGAGAACAACATTCATGCTGAAACCTCAGACCTGTTGCCAACTCAACCCTACCAGCGGATAGCAGCCACAATATGAGACTGGTCCACCTTAAGATCTCGGACATGCCCATACTGACCCCATGCCTATTCCCTGACAGGGGTCAGAGGTGCCAAAATCCCTGCTCACGTTTTTATTTTTCATTCCACCATCCATGGATGGAAAGGAAGTGGGAAGGGCACAGCACAGAGGGCACTGGGACCACCTGAGGGAAGCCACAGGTTAATGCAGCAGCATAAGAATCACCTTGTCAAGCCAGAATGGGCCCCAAGTTTTTGAAAGCAACAAATTAGAATCCATGGTTGTGCTGTAGTGCGTACCATCATAGGGGAAAATGTTAACTTTCTTAGCAGCTGGTACAAGATTCTTCCCTAGATGTTGGGCTCGCAGAGGCTGGCCTCCTGCTCTCAGCTCATGCCAGAATAGACAGACCTGGCCCAGAATGAGTTGTACTGCACCAAAGGGTGAGAGGAGTAATGTGGGGGATGCCTGCCAGACAGGTCAAAAGAGAGAGAGAACCCCAGGGATATTTGGAGTGAAGGATTTGTGGTGTGGTATTTGTCTCCTATGAAATCTGGAATAATATCTACAACAACCTATTAACTGATAAGGAGAGATCTATGGTGAGAATGGAGTCCCTGGGTGGTACAAACGGTTAATGTACTCAGCTGCTAACTGAAAGGTTGGCAGTGAGTTCACCCAGAGGTGCCTTAGAAGAAAGGCCTGATGATCTACTTGTGAAAAATCAGCCACTGAAAACCCTATAAAGCACAGTTCTACTCCAACACGCATGAGGTCACCATGAGTTAGCATCGGCTTGACAGCAACTAGTTACGGGTTTGGTGAGAAAAGATGAGATATCGGAGCATTTTGTAGAAACAAGAAGAGTGGCCAGCACTGAGACAAGCCAGGACTGTGGTACTCAGAGACAACATGGAGAATCTTTGCGTGGGAGGAAGGTTTATGGAGTTCCACTGGAGGACATATACACAACCAGTTCTACCAGCCTTCTGCTCACCAGAAGGCCATTCTGGGCAGCCAGCTCAGACAGGTAAAGAGTCCTGAATTTGGAATTAGAAAATCGAGCTTGAAATTCTCACCACTATATTGAGACAAGTAACTTAGATCTTTATGTCTGTTTCTCGTTTGTGGAAGGGGGCTAGTGCAATGTTGTAAGGAACAAATCAACTAACAGTTGCAAAAGAGTTTTAAACAATAAAAATAGCTGCACAAATGTGATTTATTGTTGGTTTTAAACAGTAAAAAGAGCTTCACAAATGTGATTTATTGTTACTGAGTGAGGGGTCCATGCTAAGACACTGCGGCAGCCCAGGAAACTACAAACTGCTCATGTAAATGTCTATTTTTGTTGAGAGGAAACGTGAAAATCTATGATTTAAAAAAAATTGTCCAAAAATAGCAACTTCACTTCTGCTTCCAGTTTGACAGTGTAACTGTTGCAGGACGTGCCCTTAAACTAAAAACAACCAGGTAACAAGATGAGACAACCATTACACATGCAACAACCATTTTCAAGCTTTGACTATCAGGCAGCGCAAGACTATGGTGCCTGAGACAAGGGAAACACGAAAGGTGGTCCCATAATGGCCCAGCTTTCTTTCTGGGGGTGCTTTCCTGCCATGGTGCAGGGAGGTGGCATCCCAGGGGTATTGTGGTCTCACTAAGCTGAAAAGGTATGAACCAGGTTGCTGAAGGGACTAGAATTTGCAGGGCAGGATGCCAGAGAAGAGTGAGCTGTGTAGGGATTCATCTTGAGTGTCCTTGGCCAAGGACTGCCTATGTATGCATAGGATGAGACTTCACAAGACCTAGTAAAGCTCATCTGCATCAAGGCTGAGAGCTGAATGGAGGTAACAGAGGTTGTGCAGTATTGGGAAATGCTGGGGTCCCATCGCATTCAGAGTGAGGAGATCTCAGTGAGCATCTTACACCCCAGAAAGACCACAGAAAAATAAGGCCACCTCAAAAAGTAGGAACCATGACATAGAAAGAAGTCCAAAACTGAAACAGAATAGCCCTAACAAAGAATAAAAGCAATCCTGACAGAACCAAAAGGAACTGTAATGTAACTGCTAGCCAGAACAAAACTCAACATCCTTTACAGAAAGAAAACATAATTCACCCTCCCTTCGTTAGAACAGCTGTACTTCCCAGCATACCATTAAAATTAGTAGAAATCTGAAGAAGTAAGAAAATATGATCCGCAACAAGGAAAAAAAAACTGTTAAAAGAAACAGGCCCCAAGATGCACCAGATGTTGGAATTATCACACAAGGACGTTAAAGCAGCTATTAAAAATCTATTCAAGAACTTAAAATATGGCCATCATAATTGAAAAGACTGGGAATTTCAGCAAAGAAATGGAAACTATAAAAAGATTCTAAGGTGAGAAATTAGAGTCATCACTTGAATAGACATATGCACACCTATGTTCATGGCAGCATTGTTCACAATAGCAAAACGATGGAAACAACCGAGATGCCCATCAACAGATGAATGGATAAACAAACTATGGTACATACACACAATGGACTACTATGCAACGAGAAAGAACAATGATGAATGAATCTGTGAAGCATCTCATAACATGGATGAAACTGGAGGACATTATTCTGAGTGAAATAAGTCGATCACAAAAGGACAAATATTGTATGAGACCTCTATTGTAAAAACCCATGAAAAAGTTCACACACAAAATGTAACAATCTTTGTTGGTT